ACTCACCTCAGCCTCCCAAAGGCGTGGGATTACAGGCTGAGCCACCAAGCCCGACTTATTACTATTCTTACTACTACTATTATCATTCTCAGTAGTTTTTGTTCACTTTGGTATACATAGTAACTATCTTTTTTTTTTTTTCAGTTTGGAGTCTCACTCTGTCACCCAGGCTGGAGTGTAGTGGCATGCTCCCGGAAATTGCAGCCTCACCTGCCGGGCTTGGGCAATCCTTCTGCCTCAGCCTTCCAAGTAGCTGGAAGTACAGATGCACACTACCACGCCTGGCTAATTTTTGGGGTGTAATTTATTGTAGAGATGAGGTCTCGCCAAGTTGCCCAGGCTGGTCTTGAACCCCCGGGCTCAGGCAATCCCCTCGCCTTGGCCTCCCAAAGTGCTGGGATTACAGGCTTGAACCACAGTGCTCGGCCAAGTAACTCACCCAGTCAAGTAACTATTTTAACTGCTTCTTTGCGTGTTCATTTCATTTCATTTCTTTTTTTTTTTTTTAGTTGGAGTCTCACTCTTACCCAGGCTGGAGTGCAGTAACACACTCACAGCCACCACCACAGCCTTGACCTGCTGGGCTCCGGCGATCCTTCCACCTCAGCCTTCTAAGTAGCTAGAACTATAGGCATGTGCTACCACATCTATTTGATTTATCGTAGTGATGAGGTCTGGCCAAGTTGCCTAGGTTGGTCTTGAACCTGTGGTCTCAGGCAATCCTCTCCCCTCAACCTCCCAAAGTGCTGGGATTACAGGCTTGAGCCACCACGCCTGACTGACATTTTCATTTCTCTAAGAAGGCTTTTGACATGTAAAAACGGTATTAAATAAATGTGTATATTTTCCTCCCATGGTTCTATCTTATGTCAATTTAATTCTCAGGCCCAGCCCCAAAGAATCTCCCACGATCGGCCAGGCACTTTGTGAGTGATTTCCCTACACCCCTCATTAAATTCCCACAATACTATTACTATCCCCATTTTAAAAATTTATTTATTTATTTATTTTTGAGTCAGAGTCTCACTCTGTTGCCCAGGTTGGAGTGCAGTGGCACACTCACAGCCTTGATCTGCTGGGCTCAGGCGATCCTTCCACCTCAGCCTTCCAAGTAGCTGGAACTATAGGCATGCTCCACCACACCACCGACTAATTTTTCTTGAATTATTGTTGAGATGAGGTCTCGCCATGTTGCCCAGGCTTGTCTCAAACCTGTGGGCTCAAGTGATCCTCTTGCCTCAGCCTCCCAAAATGCTGGGATTGCAGGCGTGAGCAAATGCACCTAGCAATATCCCCATTTTATTAAGGACACTGAGATTCAGGCAGAGTACTTTGCCCAAGGTTATCCAGCTATTAAATAAGGCAAGGTCTGTAATTAAACCCAGATTATCTAGCTCTAGTGCCTGTTTTCTTAAGCACTATGTAAAATGCTATTTCTGTGAGGTCTGCTCACTTCACAGCCTTCCAAGCATTTTTTAAAGACTTTTTCTTTTTTCTTTTTTTTTTTGAGTCAGAGTCTCACTTTGTCTCCCAGGCTGGAGTGCAGTGGCAACCTAGACCTGCTGGGGTCAGGTGACCCTTCTGCCCTAGCATTCCAAGTAGCTGGAGCTACAGGTGAGGGCCACCATACCCAGCTCATTTTTTTATTTATTGTAGAGACAAGGTCTCACCAAGTTCCCCAGGCTAGTCTCGAAAATCCTGGGTTTAGGTAATCCTCTCGCCTCAGCCTCCCAAAATGCTGGAATTACAGGCATGAGCCACCACACTTGGCCTCTTTTTCTTTTAAGGGTCCTGATCTCACTCTGTCGTCCAGGTGGAAGGCAGTTGCTGCAGTCTCCAACTCCTGGGCTCAAGTGATCCTCCCGCCTCAGCCTCCCAAGTAGCTGGGACCATACAGGCATGGAAGGACTTCTACTGGAATATTTACAGCACAGAGTTGTAATCAGGTTTACCAGTTGGGAGGCCGAGATGAGAGGATCGCCTGAGCCTGCAGGTTCGAAACCAGCCTGGGCAACTTGGCGAGAGCTCCTCTCTACAATAAATCAAAAAATTAGCTGGACATGGTGGCGTGTACCTGTAGTTCCAAGCTACTTGGAAGGCTGAGGCGGAAGGATCGCCTGAGTCCAGCAGGTCGAGGCTGCGGTGGCCGGGAGCGAGCTACTGCCACCTCCAACCTGGGTGACAGTGACCCTCCAACTCAAAAGAAAAAGAAAAAGAGAGAGAGGATGTTATCTTGTTACAACCTTGCACCACGCATGTCTTGGGAGCGACCTCTGAACTACTTCCCTGTAAATGTTTAGTTCCAAGGGGCTGAAGGCCTCTTATTTGCACTGCAGGAGAGGTGAAGCCTTTCTTCGGGCCTATTGAGTTCTCAAGAAGACGCCAAACGGGGGTGGGGGGCAGGTGTGTGTGGGGGGGGGGGTGGGCAGCAGCATTCCTCTTCAAAGGAATGGCGCATCTTCGAGACCTTCCACTTGTCACCGGGGTTACAGCAGGTCACCGGCAGAGACCTGCCCCGCCCCCGAGCTGACATCTGATGCAACTTCAGACCGTGATCCTTCCAAGAACGGCCTGGGAGGAGGACGACTCCTTCTGGCAGGGTGGTCGGAAAAGCTTCTATGAAGAGGTGGTCTCTGAGCTGGAATCCTGGAGCTTTAATACCGGTGGAAAGAGCCCTCGGAGGGAGTGACGACTGACGGTCAACCCCCAAGAACGTTTGGCTTTGGCATCAGGATTGTTCGGAAGAGGAGGAAGAGAAAATAAACCCTGGGGACTGTTCGGGAACCGTGCTTTCGCGGCTCTCAGGCTGAAAAGGGGGTTCCCACAACCCTTCCCCTCGCTGGGGGCTGCAGGGAAGCCGAGGACCGAAGGGCCTGGGGCGAGAAACCGCGGCTGGGGGCGGGG